CCCATTCACTGTCTCCATCCTCCTGTCGGTGCACGTTCCAAAAACAGATCCAAATTTCAACCCCGCTTTCAAGGCTGCTCACCCCCACTGCAGTTGTCGCCCAATTGCTCCAATCACACCCCTTCATCTCTCTTCCCAAGGCCATGCCCCTTCCTCACCATATTTGTCTGATCTCAGCCAATAGGGGTGTGACCTGGGAGATGGTTTGTCTGGTGTCTTTATAAAACTCTACAGAGATGGGTGGAAGTTTGCACTTTCTGTCAGCCCTGCGCTCCAGAGGGAGGAGAAGGAGAGAGAAAGAGAGAGGGGAGAGAGAATCAAGGGGCCATCTGTTTTGTCCCTATCCTACACTTTTAAAAAGTGTTGGTGCGTAATCTCTTTTGCACTCAATTTGTTTTTTAAATAACTTTAGTTTCCTGTAAAAAGCCTTAAAACGGGATTTTCTGCATTTCTCTGGGTAGAAATCCAACTCATCTACATCTCTTGTGTTGTATTTTTGAAGTCTCCCCTTTGAGCAGACAGGATGGAGAACGCACACACCAAAGAAACAGCAGAATGCCTGGCCTACTTCAGCGTGAGCGAGACCACAGGCCTCGCTCCGGATCAGGTCAAGAAAAACCAAGACAAGTATGGATTCAACGGTGAGGAACGCGTGGACGAATGATGGAGGCATCTGTAAAATCTGAATGGATGTTTGATTGCAATGAAACAATGTTGGGACGAATTAACAGAACAGGACATTTTGAAGGGGAGGTAGCAAGAATTCTCAACTTAGTACATGTTTAGTTGTGATCAGTTGAGAACAGACATCAGAGAAAAAGATCAATTAGTTATACAGTATCTCAAGACCTTTTTTTAATTCAATTCAGATGCATTTAAAAAAATTTAGAGAAGACGGCATACATTTCCAGAAGTACTTTACATACTGCATAGAGAATTTAAAGCTCTCAGCCAAAGGCAAAATGACCCTGAACAGATGCACTTATCCATGCAGCATAATAAGATTAAGTTGTTAAAGCAAGATTAGAAGATAAAGGAAAGAAAGAAGAAAAGCAATAAAGTGACAGCTGAAACACAGGGACTTCAGTAGAAGGTCGAACAAAAGGACAAATGGCTAGACTACTAACTGAACACTTTGATATGTGTGAGCTCAGAATTAATGAATTATACCATCATTTAATATGCTATGTTATGGTGATTATTGATGGGGAAAGATATTGATGGCTAATTCTAACGGTTTTGTTTCTACCCACATCTGCCATTCATCTTGTCTACTGGACCAAACTGACCAATCACAGAGCTGCCTGCTGAAGAAGGTGAGTTCTCCATTTACTGTTATTATAGAATTATATGACAAGACCTAGATGTAGAATTGACATCAGTTCTGTAATTCAGTTTTTTTTTCAGTCAGTTTCCTTTTGATTTATGCACCTCTCTTTTCAGTCAAACAAAGACCATGCTTGTTGTGCTAACCATATATAAAATGAAACATTACCTTCTCTCTCAGGTAAGAGCATCTGGGAGCTGGTGGTTGAGCAGTTTGAAGATCTCTTGGTCAGGATCCTGCTGTTGGCTGCTTGCATCTCTTTTGTAAGTAAACAGAAACTAAATAACATCATGTAGTGCAAAGCTTTTAGAAACCTCTTTGCACAGGTAATGCTTCAATAATTCAGCAATTCATAGCCTGGGTCATGCTGACTTAGGTTAGGTTTACAGTCACAGAGCTGTAACATTTTAATGAATGGACGGGGTTTCATTTACAGGTACAGACAATGATTAATAATGTGAATGTGAAGGACAGGGACACATTTCCCACATTCCCATCCGTTCCTGTCAATCAAGCTAAACGGTAACCCAACGGCCTCAAGTATATAATGGGTAGACAATAATCCAGTTGTTTATCTGTGCCGGGTAGTATGGAATTCTTATAGTTGCGTGAAACAACACTGCTAGCATGAGATGCTAGGTATCTTTTCTTAGTCCCAGACACATACATGCCCTCACTCTTGAAATCCGAGTACTCGCCGCTCTGATAATGAACGAGTGACGGCACATAAAAAGGCAGTTCTTTCTTTCTTCCAAATCGGTTTTGAAATAAATGAAGCAGACAGCATTAGTTCTGCTGTTTTGTTCAGGTCTTCGTCGAGCCTTATCACAGCTGTCATTATGGCCTTAGAAGGCCAGGATAGAAGCTGAGGAGAAGCAAGGACAGAGAAAGAATAGAGATAAAAAGAAAAAAGAGAGAGCGTGAGTGAATAAGACAGAGAGGAAAGGAGTGTTATTTTAAGGTGGTCTTAAGCCAGTCCAAGAAACAGAATCCACCCACAAAGGTCAAAGATGGAAGGAATGAAAGACAGATGAGGGAGAGAAAGACAGACAGCAGATGCTAACGTGCCATAAATTGAGGGATGCATGTACTGTGCACACGTGAGAATTACTGGAAAAGGATCAGCTGCACACCTCAACCATAACTTCATGTACAGATGAAGTGTGAGTGTGTG